AAGGGCTGGCATAGTGGTCATTGATGGTAAGAGGGTCGTCCCCTGGCTTAGCCCAGGAGCGGTTTGGCTCAGAGATGATTCTCTGCTTCTGATCCATCAGTTCTGTCTCCTTCAAAGCCCTCACCCCTGTCCCCAGTCCTCCAGCCCACAGTGGCCCTGCTGTAGCAGTGATGGCCTGGGTTCCTGCTGCTTGGGTGCAGGGCTCCCTTCTCCATTTGCTGAGGTAGGCAGTGTAGGAAGGGAGGCAGGGCCCAGAGAGGGCTGCACTGGGGCCTGCACAGCAGGTAGGCTAGTCTCTGTGTGCTATTCTTGCTGGGGTCTGTCACATAGAAGGAGCAGTGTTTGCGGACTTGTAGCTCCCACCCGAGCAGCGCCTCAGGAACAGGAGAGAGGGGACAGGAGTCTTTCTCTTTGGCTACAGCCAGATTGCAGAGCAGCAGCATCCTCACAGTGGCTGGCATGGAAGCTGACCCCCACTGCCAACCTTTCCTGCTCTCCATGGAGTCTTCCTGTTCTTAACCTCTGGACTGCCTGGGCCCTCCCTTCTGTTCTGACTCAGCACTCTGTTTAGGGGCCCCACAGGGAGCTGCGCTCATGAAAGGGAATGGGGAGGCTGGCTTGGGCTGCTGAGGCTCCTTCTTCCCTGCAGCTTGAGATGGTGTCGTCTAGGAAACGGAGGGCCCTGGAGAAACATGCTCAGGCTCCAGCTCACACTCTCCAGCTCTGGAACCTGTGAGACAGTTTCTTCTCCCCTAGGGTGTGTAACCCCATTATAAGGATGGCTTTAGGCAGAGAAGTGTCCCATCCACTCCTCATGCCTTGGCCCCTCCTTCACTCAGGGTGTCTGTGCTGTGAGCATCCCGTATGTCAAACTCGCGGTCCCTGAATGATGCCCCTGGAGCCACGACTGACTTAGGCTCTGCCTGATGCTCTGGCACGTGCTGAGGCAGGAGCTCCAGGTATCTGGCCTCCTCTCTGCCTCAGGGATGCCGGGCCTGGGCATTCCTGGGCAGCCTCATGGGCCCAGCAGCACTTGGGCAGGTATGTCTGAATGTATTGGGGCATCACTGGCTGCTGGCCCAGCTCTTCCCTGCATGGCTGTTAGGGTGTCCATGCTACCTGGCAGGAAGGTGTTGGAGTCTTCAGAGGCCCTTTGGGCTGGCTCTTCCCCCCCTGCTGGATCCTTCCTTCTACCCGCTGCCTGGCCTTGGGCTTTGCCTTCCTAGAAGTCACTGCTTGAGTCTTCTCAGAGGCCAGTCCATCCCGTCCCCCTCCACACAGGATGTGCTGCTATTAATAACCCACCAGTCCCCTCTCCCCTCCTTCCTGCAGCTGTAACTATGGAAAGGGCTGTTGGCTTGGCTCCGTGCTGGGGAGTCGTCATGTGATTTGGGGGGTTCTTGTGGATGATGGGCTCACCCAGTGACTTGGGGACAAAGGACAGGTAGTTTGGGAAGAGAACTGGGATTTGTGTGTCCCAGGGTTCCCCTTGATACTGGCAGTTGTCTTCAGGTTTCTGGGACCGGGGCAGTTTCTCCTCCATCTGTCCCTCTGTCTGTCCATATCCTAGCTGCATGGTGCCCCTCAGCTCACCCCGCAGTGGCCTCCTCTGAAGAGCAGGCCAAGCTCCTGGACTTCTGGCAGCGCATCGGACAAACTTTCTCTTCTCAATGCTCCTGTTTCCTCCCTCCTTCTCTTTCCTCTCCTCCCCTCCCTCCCGCCCTTCCAGGGCTGCTGCCTCCTCCTCCCTCCCTGAATCTGCAGCGTGACTAGAAATAGGCTGAATTAATCAGCAGATTGAAGCTCTGCTCTGCTGCACCGATTCTCCGCAGCACCCGGCTCCTTGCTCACACACTCTCAGCTGTCTCCATCTCTTCTCTCGTCTTCTCGCTCTCTCTCTTCACCCTCCCCGCTTTGAGGGAGGTGTTGGAAGTTCTTGCAGCTGACTGCTTGTGGCTCAGGCTCTGGCCCATGCTCTTCAAGCAGGCAGAGCTATGGATGCCCCATCAGGGCAAAGGCAACAAAGTGAGTATGCTGGCGGGGCTTTTATGCTTCTCTTTAAAATGCTGTGTTCTCTGCTTTGTGTGGGAGTCTTTGGGTTAGCGGTTGCTGTGAGCGTCCTGAAGACAATGCAAAATGGGAGGCTGCTTGAATGAGCATGGGTAGCCGGGACCTGGGAAAGGGACTGGGAATGAGAGCCAGAAGGCCAATGTGCCTGGGGAGCTGCCAGCCAGGTGCCTGAGTCACCCAGAGCAGGACTGGACCCAAGCCTCCCAGGGGATACCCTGCCAAGGCATGTGAGGACCTGGGTTTCCATGCACAGGTGATGGTAGCTCAGGGCCAGGATGTCATCCCTCCTCAGGGCCAATGAAGGCATTTTGAAGGCACAATGAAGAACCACGTGGGGAACTAAGACAAAAGCCAACAGGGTGGGGAGGATTTTTTCGTAGGTCCTGATGGCTACAGGAGGTGGGGAAGAATGTGGGTGAAAGTGTTAAGGTCAGCATGAGCCAGGAAGAGGAGGAAGCAGCTCCGCTCGAGGCTCTGATTTGCCTGGCTGCAGACAGAGTCCATCTGTGTCTGGCTCAACTCAGAAGAGTGTGTAGTGGCTGAATCTCTGCTTCCATGATTCGGGCATTGTGTGGAGTCCAGCTTTGTGTCCCTTCTATACCTGCACTGACGACAATAGTGGGGACCCAGAGAGGGGGCCAGGCTTGAGATGGAGTTTCACTATGTTGCCCAGGCTGGTCTCAAGCGATCCACCTGCCTCAGCCTCCCAAAATGTTGGGGTTACAGGAATGAGCCACCATGCCCAGCCAGCCAGTTCTAATTAGTAGTTATCTGCTGTTGTCAAGGCTGAAGGTCAAGGTCTAAATTTATAACCTGTCTACCTGAGCCTAGGGGACCTTGATTCTGTTGCTCCTAAGACAGCTGGAATAGAAAGGAGAGCAGCTGCTGTGCCCAGAACGCCATGCAGGAGCTCTGAAAGGGGACAGGGCAGCCGGGCGCAGTGGCTTATACCTGAATTTCCAGCACTTTGGGAGGCCAAGGTGAGCAGATCACGAGGTCAGGAGTTCAAGACCAGCCTGGCCAACATAGTGAAACCCTGTCTTTACTAAAAATACAAAACTTAGCTGCACATGGTGGCGCATGCCTTTAGTCCCAGCTACTGTGGAGGCTGAGGCAGGAGAATCACTTGAACCCAGGAGGCGGAGGTTGTGGTGAGCCATTGCGCCACTGCACTCCAGCCTGGGCAACAGAGCGAGACTCCATCTTTTTTTTTTCCTTTTTCTTTTTTCTTTTTTTTTTTTTGAGATGGAGTCTCGCTCTGTCGCCCAGGCTGGAGTGCAGTGGTGTGATCTTGGCTCGCTGCAAGCTCCGCCTTCCGGGTTTATGCCATTCTCCTGCCTCAGCCTCCCAAGTAGCTGGGAATACAGGCGCCTGCCACAATGCCTGGCTAATTTTTTGTATTTTTAGTAGAGACGGGGTTTCACCGTGTTAGCCAGGATGATCTCGATCTCCTGACCTCGTGATCTGCCTGTCTCAGCCTCCCAAAGTGCTAGGATTACAGGCGTGAGCCACCGCACCTGGCCAACTCCATCTTAAAAAAAAGAAAAACAAAAAGAAAAAAAGGAAAGGGGAGAGGGCCTGGGGCTTGGGGGTTTCGGGCTCCGGGTCACCTGATAAACCTGATGGAAGCGGCACAGGAGAGCTCAGGTGTGTCAGCTCTCCAAAGTGCCTTAGTCTATCCAGGTGCTCAGCTTCAGACCTCCAGAGCTGGGCCTGTTCAGTGGCAGACTCCTTGTGGTTCTGATTTGATGGATAGAATTCTTTCACCACCCTGCTGTTCCTCCAAATCCCCACGCCCTGCCAGCATCCCCCTTTGATGATAGAACACAGAGAGCTGGCCGGGCGTGGTGGCTCATGCCTGTAATCCCAGCACTTTGGGAGGCCGAGGCGGGTGGATCACGAGTTCAGGAGATCGAGACCATCCTGGCTAACACGGTGAAACTCCGTCTCTACTAAAAATGCAAAAAATTAGCCGGGCGTGGCGGCAGGCGCCTGTAGTCCCAGCTACTTGGGAGGCTGAGGCAGGAGAATGGCGTGAACCCTGGAGGCGGAGCTCGCAGTGAGCCGAGATCGCACCACTGCATTCCAGCCTGGGCGACAGAGCGAGACTCCGTCTCAAAAAAAAAAAAAAAAAAACACAGAGAGCAAGCCCTGTGATGGGCGTTTGCTGCCTGCCTCTCCTGAGTCAGGACTTCCTTAGAGCCGTGTTATTTTCTCCTCTTGCTCCAGTTAAGCCTGAGCAGTGAAAACAGTGGAATGGGGTTAGTGCTGCCTGAAAAGCATCCATGTAATTTGAGAAGCAGGGCCTCCCTTCTTGGCGTGGTGGGAGTTTTTAGTATGTGGGAAGCTCTGAGAATCTCATGTCACCTTTGGGTACTTAAAGCCAGGTTAGATTTTTTCTCAGCCATCTTGGCCCCAGGAGTCAAGAAAAGGCGACCTCAGCTTGTGTGTGTCAACCTGGATTTCTGTTTCTCAGATAATAATAACTGTGCCTGTTCCTTTGCTATGCCCTGCCATTGGTGCCCAGGCACATTGGGTACCCAGCCTAACTCCATGCTTTGGGAAAGGCTGGCAGAGCCCAATCACCCACCAACCCATTCTGAACTTCCTTCCAAAAGTATGAAGGTCTTCTGCTCTTATGTCACATGTCAAAGCTGAGGTACAATGAGTAAGAAAGCAGGCCAGGCATGGTGGTTCACGCCTGTAATCCCAGCACTATGGGAGGCGGGAGGATTGCTTGAACCCAGGAGCTCAGGACCAGCCTGGGCAACATGGCGAAACACCATCTCTACTAAAAATACAAAAAATTAGCTGGGTGTCTTGGCATCACCTATAGTCCCAGCTACTTGGAAGGCTGAGGTGGGAGAATTACCTGAGCCTGGGAAGTCAAGGCTGCAGTGAGCTCTGATGGCACCACTACATTCCAACCTGGGCGACAGGAGTGAGACCGTCTCAAAAAAACACTAAAAAAACCCCTAGCTGGGCATGGTGGTACACATCTGTGGTCTCAGCTGCTTGGAAACTGAGGTGGGAGAATTGCTTGAGCCCAGAAGGTGGGGGCTGCAGGGAGCCAAGATGGTGCCATTGTACTCCATCCATCCTGGGCAACAGAGCAAGACCCTGTCTCAAAGGAAAAAAAAAAAAAAACGAGCAAGAGAGAGCAGTGACTTGACCCTTAACTCAGACCCCCTGCTGGAGAGGGAGGTGAACGTCTGGGCAGTTGGATAAGCTCAGTTGAAGGCCGCAAAGAGCAGACTGGCCCAGAACGCTGGGTCCCCACCGCAGGGCTGGCCTGTGCGGAGGATCTAGATGACACTGGAAATTGAGACTCGTGGCGAAACGGGTGGAGACGCGGCGGCGCGATAGGATAGAGGATACAAACTAGGGGTCGCAGTCAAGCCTGCTGGGTGATGGGTGCCACCAAATCTCGAGCAAAATCACCGCTGACACCACATAGTCTCTCCACCAAACAACACTGTCTTCACACACACCATGTCAGATTCTTTAAAAGTCTTAAATACAAAATTGTATACCGTTAAATGAATGCGAGTAATAAATATAAGAACCAAGCTGAGCGTAACCAACAAAGGAAGAATTCGGAGTAGAATATCAGAAATCCATGATTATGGACCTGAGTTCCAGTACCCCATCTAATTTGAAGAATTATTCCTCAAAGTTGATGTCAAAGGTCTTCAACCCCTTCACCATGAATCCAGAGAATGTTTGTAGATAATGCAAACTGGTCTACAGAAATTAATGATAAAATGTATGAGTACAAATAGGACAAAAATTAGATAGACTAAATTGTGGAAATTTTTTGTGTTTATTTCCATTCGTATATTTGTAATCTAGGTGTTGTTACTGCTTTGCGGTCCAGTCCTTCTAATTAAGTTCGTTGGTATTATTCATTGCTGAAGTTTTTAGAGATATTGTGTATATTTTAGATGAAATTCTTTATTAAATGTGCTTTTGAATTTTTTTTTAAGTTGTGGCTTTGTATTTCTTAATTATTTTGAAGTGTCTATTCAGTGGGAAGAATTTTGAAATTTAGTGAAGTCAGATAATATTTTTATTAATGGGATGGTGAGGTGGGGCCATAAAGATGTATATAAAATTTGGGAGGATCAGGAAGGTAGTTACGGCTCAGTCCTTCTGAGCTTCCTCACCACAGGAATGGCGCCCGATGTATGTTCCACAGACCGGCCCAAATGACCCATGCCTGGCTGGCCTCGACAGAACATGACAAGTGAGAAACCTTACTGGAGCAGGAGCACTGGCCTGCAGAGGGGAGCTGCTGGTCACCCGCACGACATGAGACTGGAGGGAGAAAGAGAGGGAAGTACCAGCAACGTACACGCTGGAAGAGTGCTCGGCCTGGAATGAGGACCACACCTCGGAAGGTGACATTTCCGGCAGGCAGAGCGAAAAGGCTAGAAGTAGTCGAGAGCCAGGGGAGGTGTCCCGTGCTCTGGGTCAGCGCTGAGATCTTGGAACCATCTTCATTCGTTCCCGTGGGCCCACATGGTAGCATGTCCTGACACCCTCCGCGTGCCTCATTCAAGCAGCCAGGGGACCTCCTCCACCACAGCCTGGCACATCTGTTCTCGTTTGCTGTCTCTACCCCAGGTAACCTTGGAAGCTGTGGCTCATGCTCCCCTCCCAGGTTGGAGGTATTGGGGCCAGAGGGTGCAGATGCTCCCTGGCAGGCGCCTGCAGAGCTTCGTGTGTCATCTGCCCGCCGGCATGTTATGTGCTGGCCGACGGGGGCGCGACGAGGCAGGCTCCAGGTACGGTCGGGGTGATTAAAGACAGGGTCACAGGTAGGAGGGAAAAAGAGAGCCCAGTTGCTGCGGGTAAGTTTGAGCATGGTCGGCCGGGCTAAAGGAAGGCGCTTGCGCCCGC